ATACTATATGTTTTATCTGTGTATCATTGATATAAAACCATACCACCACTACTATTACTAGTACTGTGTATAAGGGTTAGACATGGTCTTTGTGGCTTCTATTCTACCCCTGTGAGCCTAGAAAAAAGTTGATTCTACCGGTTTATCTTTGGATCAAACAGATTCAAATCTAAATGAATTTGGGTTACTTCAATGGTCAAAAAGCTCAGAAGCCTGCATGTAGTAACAAATTGTGGCTTATTAGTATAAGATATCTACCAAAAGGGTAGAATATATTAATGTAAGCTAAGAGAGTTAGTTAAATAAAATAAATGCTATCCAATTAGCTGATAAACGCCACAACAGTCACTCTCAAACTCCACAAAACCTCGACTCAATTATTCATAACTTGTAATTTCCTCAATTATTAACAGAGCCACAAAAAATGAATTAATACCTTGGATATAAAAAATTTTGGGTTTGTTTGGATTTTTCGGTTTAGTTTGGTTAATTTTGAAAAATGTGGTATGGTTAGTTATTAGTGGGTATATTAAAATAATATTTTAAATAAAATAATTAAAGTTGATTTGATGTAAAAGTATGAGAGAGATGATTTGAAGTGATGGTTAGTTAAAATTATGTGAGTGGATGAATAGTGAATTAAGGTTGATGTGATGTGTAATAATGATTGATTGATATTATTTAATTATATTAATAATATTAATGATAGTTGAATTGAGTTAAAAAAAATAATTGAGTTAAAAATATTTGGATTTTTTAGATAAGTTTTTTATCCAAACATCCTCTAAAAGCACCCAAACCAAAATAGTTTTATGAAGTCAACCCCAATAACTAAACACCTTCTCCTATATAGATTATAGGATCAGCCTACCAAATCTTTCATAATTTCACGGGCCGCAATGTTGCCACATCCATTTACCTTTACTAGAGTTAAGTGGATACAATGTCTCATTTTTCTTCAACATATCCGTAAACACAATACACTTTTTTTTTTTTTAATTTTTTTGGCCTTTTAATCTTTTTTCTTTTGAAACAATAAACAAAATTAAACTCAATATTTGATGCCGCGCCTCAACCATATACAGCCATAATTTAATACAATGGATAAATATAAAGGTAAAAATGAAAAGGATGGATTGGAGAAGAAACCCATCAAAAGCATCTTGAAAACAGAGAGGAAAGTAGTATTACTACATCTACATTCAATTCAATTCAATTCAATTCAATTCAATGAATGATTTTCCAAACACAAACCCGTGACCCATTCAATTTTAGTTACTAAAAACACCCTCTTTTCTGACACTTGCCAGCCTGTTCCTCCTCTCTATCTTGTCCCCCATTACCCTCTCCTAAATATTCTCCTTTTTTAAAAATTCCAAAAATAATTTGAATACATTATTTGAAATCTACCTGTACTCAAGCGTTCACGGATCAACCTCTGCACCACCACTCATTATAAACAATTTTTTT